TTTATCCCTCTCGGCGCGGCCTGGCTCCACCCTCGGCCACGCCCTCCGTCCAGAACATTCCCGACGGTTCCAGGCTACACCGCAGCTGTTCCCTCTCTGGCTCCACCCTTAACCACGCCTCTTTCGGGAACTCTGTAGACGTTCTCAGCTACTCCCGCTATGCCACCTCGTTCACCGTTGGCGCACATTAATTACTTTCCTTCCGATTTAAAGCTTTCGTGACTGCAGGGATTCATCTTCTTGGTTCTTTCGGTAAAGTCACATAGAAGGAAAATAATAAAATAATGATAAATAATCTCATGTATTCTGTGAAAAGTCGATGGCATGTACTTAAAAAAAAATTCAAGTAATTAATCCAAAAAAAACTTTGTCTCAAATGTGTTTTTGTTGTTTTGGGTCGTTGTCTGGATTGTCACAAGTCCATGGACCCTCTCGCTTAAGTCAAACCCTCCCTTATCAGCCATCAACCACTCCCCAGCTCCACCCATGACCCCACGTTCTTGCTGCGATTGCAGTGTCCAGCTCAGGTTCTTCCCAAGGCAGTTAAACATAACGAGCCCCGATAAAGCTGAAACTGCAGGGCAGACCAACCTTCAAACAGGGTGAGGTAACACTCATCACTCAACTGATCCTCCGATACCAATATCTGCTATTCGCACACGAAGTGACGGTGACATCACCACGGTGCCTGTGCCAGGCCAGGTGCCATCTTGAGGCCACGTGAAGTGTCGAAGGTTCGCTGAGAGGAGGTCACGGGACAGACCGAGCAGGTGCCGTGGGTTGACTCACTGAAATCCCTGGGCAGATGCACCAGCTGTGCCCCACTGCTTTACCGGCTTGCTGTATTTTAATTGCCCGGCGCTCCGCTCATTGTCGTGAGCGTCACTCCTCGGCCCTCCGTTGTTGTTGGAGGGCGACTGCCTCCAACTGACCAGTAGCGGCGTCCTTCACGAGCCTCCTCCACCCCGAGACTCACTACTCCCAAGACATTTCACACTCACCAGTAAGCACTCACCACTAACCAGATATTGATACTTACATTGACAAATCACCAGACACTCGCAGGAAGTGATGTCACTTCAATGGCATCACTTATGTGCTTTTCCCGCCAAAAGTGTCATCACATGACACCGTTTTAACAACATCGAACATGCATTGGCTTAAATTCTAAAAATAATTGCTTTACAAAAAGCACTTTTGTTTATTACTTGGATGACGAATTTTGCAAATCATTATTATTAAAGTTTTACAATTTTCTGCAAAATTTCACACTGAGAGGTATGAAAATTGCATTAATTTAAGCCCAAAAATAGCGGAAAACATCCTAAATCGGGCCTGAAAATCCCAACGCCCCAAAAGAATAAATTCCGAAACGCGTCTCTCATGCGCGCACATACTACACTCCGTAATGAGGTTGATTGCTTTAATTGGATGTTCCAAATTTACACAACGCAGAACGCGGGGGGGAGAGATCTCAGCCTCTCACGGGAAGGGTGCCGGAACAAACGGAGGCGCAAACGTCATTGATGACGCCAAGGACGCCGTCGGTGGTGCCACCAACGCCGTCATTGGCGCCAACGCCATCGCCTCGGCGCTGTCACAGAGGCGACGGTGTTCTCGCGTGTAATCGCGAGCGGGTAGTGGGGTTGGGGAGTGCAAGGGTCGCGTGGGCTCATCCGGGGACCCCCAACGCAAATTATCTATTTTAACTCGTACAGTATTCCCTCGTTATTCGCAAGTGATGTGTTCCGGAGATGCTGGCGAATAGCAAATTTCGCGGATGATGACATTGGCTTAAGAAAGCCTACATTTTTCATGAATTACCTTAAATACGAAAAAAAATGCTATTATCTTCTTGGTTCTTTCGGTAAAGTCATGTAGAAGGGAAGTAATAAAATAATACGTGACTTTACCGAAAGAACCAAGAAGATGAATCCCTGCAGTCACGAAAGCTTTAAATCGAAAAATGCTATTAAATACATGAAAATGATCTCACCAATTTATCTCATCACTTTCTCTATCGCTCTCTCGATGCATTGGTCATTTTGAGTTCCAGATGCGATTTGCGGAGAGCGGATAGCGGATGTTTGTGAACAGTGAGGGAATACTGCAGATGTGTTGGCCGCCACGTCCACCACCTCCACCCCCGCCCCCACCTCCGATGGAGAAAATTATCACGTGTTTTTCATTTGTGTTTTACAAACTCGTCGTGAAATGCAAAAAGGATGTAGTGACACGACGGAAGAGGTTCGGACAACGGAGGTGCAGTGGGATGGCATGAGAGGCGTCGGGTACGTGGACGCGTAGAGATGTGGAATAGACGTTGGCAGTGCACAGGGATGCGTGGACGAGAGGAGTGAGCGACGCAGACGGCACAGGTGTGTGGGGGAGGTGAGAGAGGTGTAAGATGGAGGTGCGGTGGAATGCAGTGCGATGACACGCGAATGTTGACGGAATCGACGGACGTTCGGTGCACGCCGATGCCCCAATCGGGGTCCCTGAGCTTTTGCTGAATCCTGCTCATGCGCAGCGCCGCCACTGTGAGAGCGGAACTGTGGCCGCGCTGAGACGTGCGGTGTAGCGAGCAATTGATAAATAATTGCGGTCTCATAAATGCTCTTTCATAAGCGCCCGCTGATGGTAATGAGTATCTGTGACGGTGGCGATTACGCTGATGGAAAAATCAATGGTGGTGGTGGTTTTAATTAATTTAAGATTTGCTTCGGAGCACTGCCGCCTCCCGAAAATCGGTCATCACCCAAGACATTAGATTACGATGTGGCTTATCGTTCAGTCAGAGGGCAGTGTTTGTTAATGACGAAGGTTGGTTGGGAGTGTTTTAATCATGCGATGTTGCAGCCGCTTCTCCATTCCTTCTCTTCTCACCGGCGGCCGTTAACCCTTTCCCGTTCAGCGAGACGTCTGCAAGTGGGCGGGTGTCCCCGTTCACCGATGGTTCGGCGTTAATTTTATTGAGAGAGGCGCCGTTGTTTTTAAAAGACGTTGTTACTCACCGCGGAGAACTGTAGCGACCAAACCGCAACTCGACGATAGCTGGCGGCACCAAGCTGTGTCACAAGTTTATAACGCAGTAGGCTTTCGCGACCAACATTATCCATAATAGAGGTGTTTTTTGGGGTTAGATCGCGCAATTATAAACGTGTTGTTTAACCCGCCAGCACCCGACGCAGGCAATGAGTAAGATTTGTCACCTAAATAAAAGTGCCAATTCGGCCTAAATCGGGCGACAGCCAGAGTTGGCTGTTGCCTGCTGATGCTGGTTGTGACACACGCCCTCCCGCATGGCCTTGTGGGAGCCTTGGTGCGTCTTCCAACCTGAAGATGGATGATGATGTAACACGTGCGTCATCGCAAAGGGAAAGGGTTAAGAACCCTTCACCGATTCCTCCGACAGATTATTTCGGTTCTCATCGTCTAGGCCCATTGGTTCGCAACCTTTCTTGGAGCCACGGTTTTTTGTCAACCGCTGAAGATAAATTTGTCACCACCATGCACCGATAAAACATTTTTAAAAATCTAAATTGTAATGTTTGCAACAGTTCCATGGACTACTTCCGACGGCCGTGTGGACCACAGAATGGAAACCTCTGCCCATCATCCCTCTGGGGTCACCTGGTACGCAGGAAGTCGTGGGTTTGATCCCGACCCCTTGACGCCTGCTGTATATTTGAGGTTTGCGTGGCTCTCTCCCCGTGGTCACATGGATTTTTCTCCTGGTACTCCGGTTTCTTCCCTCCGCATTTAGATGATAAGCCACTTCATTGGGCTATCATTTGTGGCCAGGTCGCTTCTGAAAAAGAGCTATACAGCTCAGTGGGCCTTACCTGGTAAAATAAATAAAAAACATGTTTTTAGTTTAGTTTTAAAATACCGCATCATGGGGAAGTCACCGGTGGTTGTGCTATGGATAAACTCGGTGGGCCATAGGAACGTGGAATTTCCACCACTTTCCCAGGGCTGTAAACGTGATAATGAGCAGCGAGCGTGTCGATGCTGATTTGAGGAGGACACCACTTTGACACTTTTTGTGAACCAATGTGTTCAGGGAAATCTTAGTGGGGGTGCGCTCCATTGATTTGAGAGTGGCGGTGACAAAAGGGGGTAGACTGCTGCCCCGAGAGGGGGCATCTGCGTTCAGGAGCCGACAGATGGTCCATCATCGGTGGTGGATATTTTTAGCGCACACACACACATACACGGTCGCATGCACGCACGCAGCTATGCACAGACACACATGCACGCACACACGCACACCTCATATACAAACATATGCGTTTGGCGCATGAACGCACACAGCTATACAAATATGTGCAGATATGAAATTACAAATATCCCCCCATTCCTCCCTGTAGCTTACATAGACTGTTGGGGGCGAGTGCTGTTAGCGAGCACCTGTGAAGGCCGGCACGGCATGCCAATGAGGCGAAACTGTCACAGACGCCGCGCCCGGCCGCCTTTAACAGGGTGGCAGAGTTAGGCTCGGTCACGGAACGGGGAACGCCCCACCGAGGGGACGGAGCGGTGCCGGGTGGATTGCTACATCGCAGGATCGGGAGGTAGTTGTCAGCGGCTTGGGGAGGCCTCCATCCAGCAGTGGATTGACCATGGCTGATGGCGATGTGGGCCGTGGCTTGAGGATGGGTTCATCCAGCAGTAGATCGGCCATGGCTGATGATGATCGGGGCCATGACTTGGGGATGCGTTCATCCAGCGGTGGATGGACAGACGCCTCCCTGCGAGTACTCACACCGCTGCCACTAGGAGAGCGTCCCTCCACCGGACGGAGCTCCGTAGGATGGTATTTGGCCTACTCTTCCACGCTGATGGCCGACGACAAAACGCCGATTCCCCCGGTCGGGGACCACCCTGCGAATGACGACGCGGGGGGAGGGGGGGAGGGTGTTGGATCCGCAGCGTCGCTGACCGACGTTCCTCGCCGTGTGTTTACGCCGTGTGCCCCCCCCGCCCCCCACCGGCAGTGCTGCATCGATGACTACTCCGAGGTGGTTGCGCTGCTGCTGGCGCACCGGGCGAACGTGAACCCCCGCGACTCGGAGGGCTGGACCCCGCTGCACGCAGCCGCCGCCTGCGGGAACCTTCCCCTCGTGCAGCAGCTGCTCGGCCAGTCAGTGGCACACGCGCGCGCACACGCACACACGCACGCACGCACACGCGCACGCACGCACACATGCACGCACACGCACACACACGCACGCACACACGCACACACGCACGCACGCGAAATGGCAAAGATCCCCCGTGTCGCCTGTTGGGTTACGTGGTGGTCAGCAGAGAATGGCAGCAAAATAGCATTGTTGTATTGCACGTCTATGCTCCCACATCTACAGCTCCCCACTTTTAACAACCACCACGAAACCGCATGGTGAAGTATGAGTAAATAACACCCCCCCCCCCCACACACACACAAAGGAAAAGACCCCCCGTATAGCCTTAACAGACTGTTGGGGCAAGTGCTGTTAGCGAGCACCTATGAAGGCCGGAACGGTTAATGAGGGGGTTGGTGGCCAGCAACCACGCCCCACCGCCTTTGTCTCCCTATTGGCAATGTTTAAACACCGCACTGCGTACTCATTTGAGGCTGAGTCGACCTAGGGGAGGCCCAGGACCGGTTCAAATAATCGTCACCGGTGTTGGCCGTGAGCGGGAATTTAACTTGGGTCGCTGGGTTCATAGTGCAGCGCACACTCACACGCACACTCACATGCACTCACACGCACTCACACGCACGCACACGCACACACACGCGTGCACACGCACACACACGCGTGCACTCACACACACGCGTGCACTCACACACACGCGCGCACTCACACACACGCGCGCACTCACACACACACTCGCACACTCGCACACACTCGCACACGCACAAACATGCACACACCTGCACACGCACGCATGCACAACAATAACGGTCGCCATTCTCCGCTGAGTGGCAGTGACGTCACCACGACGCTTGTGCCAGGCCAGGTGCGCTTTGAGCCCACGTGAACTGTCGGACGCTCGCTTGCAGGAGGTGACGGGACAAACCTAGCAGAGCAGGTGCCATGGGTTGACTGACTCGCACATACGAAGACAAAGATCTCCCGTATAGCCTGTAACAGAGTATTGTGGAAGGTACTGTTACCAAGTAGTACTGATGAAGGGGGTGGGTGGCCAGCCCCACGCCCGGGCCACCTTTGTCTCCCGAACGGCGATGTTTAAACACACCGCACTGGGTACTCATTTCAGGCTGAGTCGACCTAGCAGAAGACCCAATTTCGGTTCGAATATTTTCCACCGTTGTTGTTCACGAGCGAGGATCGAACTCGGGCCGCCGGTGCGGTTTGTAGCGCGGTGCGCTAAACAGCGCGGGCGGGCGTGCGGGCGGGTGGACGGGCGGACGGGTGGGCGGACGACGGTTCAGATGGGTACTCGTGCGTTGGGACTCGCGGCCACGGCGCGAGAGTCGGGGCACGGTGCGAGTGACCACGGCCGACGGGCAAAGAGGAAAAACGCTTCCCCGGGCGCGTGCGTGCCCTCCCACTCGCCCGCCCGGCGGGCCCCGCATCGCGTCGCGTCTCCACAATATCACGAAGAGTATTTGTTATTTGTCGATTGCCTCCCACTGCTCCGAAGCCTCCCAGCGCGTGGGGCTCCTCCGACCCGAACGTCTTCCGCCTTGACCCCCGGCAGAGTCGTCCGTCTGGCGAATTGTTGTTCACCGTCTTGCTCGCTCAAACGCTTTCTTTGCCCGTGAATCTCGGCCGCAAACCAAGCGGAGCTTCGATTCAGATTTGTTTTCTCCTCTCCTCTCTGCCTCCTCCTGTCCTCGTGTTTCCGTGATTCTTGGCCGCCAGTTTCCGTCGCCCCTGTCACGTGCAGGGCGGCCGTGGCCCCGCGTCGCAGGCTCTGATCTCGCTGCGGTGACCCAGGCCTCTACTCAAATCTTTGTTCTGGCGACGAGGCCCCATCCCCCTCACCCCTCCCCCTCACCCCCCTCCACCCCGACAATTTGGCGCGGCTTGAAATTGAGCACCTGGAGCTGGCGACAGAGACGCGGGGATCTTTCATTTTTAGATTAAGCGCAAAAAGCCACAAAGGCTGCCCTGGATGCCTCAAGTAAAAAAAAAAAAAGATGAAAATATTTTTGAAAGCGCGGCCTTCTATTGAGAGGTTGCTCTCGATGATGCTGCGCGTCAATCAGTGGTCGGCGTGGGATGTGAAGCCGACCCCTTGTCGTGGGTATTCATGCCTGCCCACCTGCCTGAGCAGAGTGATGGCGCGGCGTAAAAAATAGTTCCCGCGCGCGCGCAAGTGCACGCAAGTGTGACGCTCGGCCTCCTTTGTGCGTCGCGTGTCAAAACCACGCACATTACCTTCGTTCGAGCAAATGTGAATGTAATAATAGGTTTAATAATAATGGGGATAGGGAGCGGTGGCACAGTGGTGAGCGCACCGTGCTTGAAACCCGTTGAGTTTGATTTACAGCCGCGGCCTAAGCATGTATGTTTAACTTCTTTCGCATCGTACGTAGCCAAACGTGTTGTTCTGTCATTCAAATTTTATTCGCGGATGGAAAGTTTCGCCGACTGATCTCCCGACAGTGGCCGTGAGGGCGGGGCGCTTTGGCATCGTTGAAGTTGCCATTTGTTGTCACCCTGATTTCGGCGAGCGTCGTCCGGTGGCCGTGGCGATGGCGATGGTACGCGCCTGTCGCAGGTGGACTGTGCGGGCAGATCCGCGTCTTGCACCCCCACGCACATCAGCGAGGGGCAACAGCAGCGAGTGGCGGGGTCATATCCGAAGCAGCCTTGGGCTGCCACCACCATTTCACTGACCCGCACTCTGAAGACGACGACGAAGATGAAGACGACAGCGACGACGAATTTAGTCAAATTGAGCGCGGTACGAAGTTGTGTTCACGTTCTTTTTGCTTTTTTTTTTATTTAAAAAAAGTTTTTTCCATTTGTCTCGGAGGTCGCCGCATCTGCTGTGCGCGACGATTTGAGACGGTCATCGTTTTTCTCGGACACTCATTCCCCCCCCACCCCCCCCCCTGGCAAATGCTGGCTCAGCATCTGGTAAAAAATCACGATTCCCCCTCCTCTGAGCCACTGCGACCATTTCCACTCGGAATGGATCGATTTCATAAAGGGGGTTCAGTGATTGGGCGACACTTTATCCTCGGCTCGATTTCTATTTAGTTTTAATTTTTTTCTCTTCCCCTTTTCCCGTAACTTTGCAGTTAAAATAGTAATTGCGTTTGGCGCGCGGCTTAGAGATTGAGACGGATCCGCAAATAGTGGAAGGTTAAGGCTCCGTCATTGATCACGGGTGGTGGCGTGCGTTCAGTATGCAGCGCCGGCGCCGCACGTGCCCCTGTGTTCGTTCTGTCTGTGGCCCGGCCAGGGCGTCCAGGTGACGAGATGTTAACTACCTTGCCTGCTCTGCAGGAGGTCGTGGGTTTGATCCCGACCTTGATGCCTGTATAATTGGAGTTTGCAAGTCTCTCTCTCTCCCTGTGGCCGCGTGGATTTTTTCTCCGGGACATTTGGAATCAACGTGCATTTCGAGTATATGCCCACGTGATAATAATCCACTTACGTTTAGCCATCATGCGTGGCCTGGTCGCTTCTGAAATAAAGAGCTTTATATCTGAGTGGGCCTTACCTGGTCAAATAAAAAATAGTTTAGTCCTTTATTAATTGTGCTGTAACGCGATAAAAGCGGACTGCGAGCAGAACACCGATCACGCAGATAATTATCAATCACTACTCTTTGGTTCTTTCGGTAAAGTCACGTAGGTATAAAATATAAAATAAATTAAATCACGACGTTTCGGGCGCAACACAAGCGTCCGTCATCTGGTGGGAACAACCACAGCAAGACACGCTTGCTGAAGTAGGCCAAAGAGCTTCTAGTAACAAGGGATTATATAGATGAGGGAGGGGGAGGAGCCAGGGATAGAGAGGGTAGGGGGTATGGATCCTTGCAGTCACGAAACTTCTAATCTAGAATTAGCAATCAATCGATATCGGCCCGCTTTTCCGAACTGAACTGGGTCACGGGAGACAGCACCTCCACCAAGTCCTTCTTCCATCCTGCCCTGTCCTCCGCCAGCGGCATCAACTGTGGCTCCCGGATCGCCGGTTTCTCCTCGGCCCAGGCGCACCACCACCTGGTCTTTCCAGCACGATAGCAAGCGGCCTCTGTGGATGATTAGCCAATCAAAAAATGGCGGTGGAGCCGTTTCAATATACGGGCAGATCCACCGAACGCTGATCTCATCGAGTGTCCGATTTAATCGCGGTGGCGATGTCGTGGGCGGTTTTCATGTTTCACTTCATTTGCCGTCTCAGTCTCGTCTTACACCAACTCAGCTCGCGCCAAAGGGCAACTGTTGTTGTTGTTGTTTTTGACAACTTTCCAACGCAGGTGAAAAAGACATGAGTGCGTTACCTTCGTGTCTTGTCAGTGTTCGTAACAGGGGCGGTGGATGGGTGGGTGGGGTGACGGTGGTCTGGGTGGCAGTGGGGGGCGGGCGGGCCGGCCGGCGGCTATGATACATCGGATTTCTCCGGGAATAATGAAAGATTCTGATCCTGATCTTGTAAACAGGCTTCAATTACGAAGACGACTTTTGTTTGAGCGTTGTGTCGCTCATGAGGACCCTGCCCTGTTGAAAGAAAAACCGGCCGTATTGATATAGAGAACAAAATAAAAACATTACTCCTGCGCAGTATTTTGCAAATACGCAAAACAAATTTTGCCCTCAGAGCTGCCTGTCGGGCTCCCTGCTCATGCATATTAATAACCTCCAAATGAAATTGTTAAAATGCATCTGCAGAATCCACGTCCGGCTGCCGCGTGATTTATCCCTACTTTTTAGCATTGCCCCTGGAGTGTAGAGGCTGGGCTCTTCTGACATGATTATCTGCGTTGCGGAGTTATAGTTCGAGGTTCATAAAAAAAAATGCACGCACTCAGCTTGGCCGTCTGCCAGATCTTGTCCTGAGCTAGAGAGCGAGCGCGTCCCAGATAAATCAAAAGCAAAGAGAGGTACACGATAAATTAAAACGATCGCACATTGAAACGCTTTCATATTCAAATTGCACCTTCGCTTTTCATCACTTTGTCAGTGTATCGGCGATAAATAATCGCGTCCTAAGCCGTTCCGCGAAAACATGACGGAATAAAAAACACGTTTAATTCAGAAAGTAAAACAAAAGCAGTGAATAGCTGATGCACAGTTCGTTGCCATGACATTAAAATTAGTTCTCTCTCAGCCTCACTCGAGCATCAATTGCGTCTGTGCTGTCTTTACACCCTTTTGTTTTACGCTTTGCTTTGATAACACTTGTAGCTTCATGATGATAATGATAACATTTATTTACCTCGGGAAAAACATCGTTGAGTCTCAAGACTCTTTTTTTTCAGGAGGCTCCTGTTTAAGTTTTGCAGTTGGGAGCGATGCTTCTGCCACTGTGTTTTTTCTTTCAAATTCACCAAAAGCTGGACCCACAGTTGTGGCTGGCACACGCACGCTCACGCACGCACGGCGTCACTTTTCTTTTCCCTAAACGTCCGCGGCATCTTTTGAACGCCCGTCCGCCTGCGAAGCAAGTCGCCGACGGTTAGCGCAGCCATCGGCAGTTTTAGTTTGGACGGAGGGGTTTGGTTGCCCGCTGCGGGATTTGACGACAAACTTCGGCAGGGCCGTCTCTCGCGCTCTCTCTCCGAACGGAGATGCGTGCGGTTTCCCCTCCGTTCACAATTCCTGAGTCGGGCCGAAGTTTGTCTCGGCAGAGGAGTGACGTCGGGTTGAAAGCTTTCCCCGCCGTCACTTTCGTAGTTCTATTTTTATTGATTTAGTCGACGTCTTAATCTGCGTGGGCGAAAGCGGTGGTTCACGCATCGTTAGGAGAGCCAGACATTGTCCACCTCTTCGCTGTTGTTAGATCAGCCAATCGGTGAGCTCCGTGAATCTTTTTATACTTACAGTATATATATAGTGTAAATATACACATAAAGTATGTAGTGACAGCCGACACAACGGTCATCAACAGTAGTAGTCTTTATTTCCCCCCACCCTTATATATACCTCAAGCCCCCTTTCTCGAAGGTTCCTTGACCCACCCTCCCTCCAGCCAATCACCTTCCACTTTGCTGAACTGATCTCAAATGACCTCCCTGTCAGTCATCCTCCGTTTCCTCGCTCTGTCCATGTTGTATATCTCCCTCCAAACCCCTTCAATTTCCCTGCCTCGAACCAGATGTCGCAAATGGGTTTTGATTCCTTACCCGTACCCGACCGGGTACGGGTACCCGTTCCCTACCCGTACCCTACCCGAAATGAGTGGCAAACGGTTACTCACCAGTGACTCACGGCCTACCCGTACCCGTACCCGGCCGCACCAGTGTCGCAAACGGGTACCCGTACCCAGCCGGGTACGGGTAGCCGGGTATCGGGTAGGGTACGGGTATCGGGTACCCGATTGCGACCTCTGCCTCGAACCCAATCCCCTTTCAGCACCATTAGGTACCAGAGGCCTTTGTTTTGACTCCCTTAGTATCCGTGGCACGCGGTGTCCCCCACATCAGGTGAGTATCGTCAGTCGGTGATATAATCTCGACGCGCACACACACACAGGGTACATAGCGGCTTCATTCACACTCGCTCGTCTGGGCTCGCCACGACCGAGTTGCGCTTTTGGCCGTAGCCATCGCCGCGCTCGGGGATATTCTCTGTCCCGCTCTCATCGCGACGTCGCTCGCGAGGGAAACGAAAACCGCTTTGCCGTCTGGAGCCTCGTCGGCCGACTGGGGGAGGGGTTGCGATTCGTTTGGTTTACAGCCGCGGGGGAAACAAGAAATAGGCGCGCCGCCCCCCTCCGCCTTCCGTTGGGAGGCTCGTGCGCGGTGAGCAGAACGTCGCACGGCGTCGTTGAAATGTCACGGGGGGGGGGGGCGTAATTAAAATAATTTCTATCAAGTCAAACTGGGAGGATAACCTTTTTGGATGCAGTGTGCCGTAATAATCGTGAGACACAGAAGGCCAACACCGATGCATGGTTTCGCCTGCTTCATAACGACACACCGTTGGAAATAATGTTTTTATCCCTGATGGCCCGTGGCGGCTAATGGACCCCCAAGTGCTATTTATTCTCTTGTATAGGAGCAGACCTTTGTTTATTCAGTGTCTACAGATGTTGTGTGATCTTTTCAGATTGATCATAATTGTTTATGGGGCTGCCGAATTTTCAGGACAATCTATATCTGGGTGCCACGGTGGCGCGATGTTAGCTTCCTCGCCTGCTGTACAGGAGGCCGTTGGTTTGATCCTGACCCCCTGACACCTGCATATTTGGAGTTTGCGTGTCTCTCTCCCCGGGGTCGCATGGATTTCTCTCCGGGTCCTCTGGTTTTTCCCTCCAAATTTACACACGTGCGTTTAGAGTATTTGGCTGCTATAAATTTCCACGCGATAAGCCACTTCGTTGAGCTATCATTTGTGGCCAGGTCGCTTCTGAAAAAAAAAATCTACATAGCTCATCGGGGCGGGCCTTACCTGGTCAAATAAAAAATACATATTTTTTTATCAAGGTGCCTGACCACAAAGCACGACAGCCAAAAACGTAAAGTGTCCAGCAACCAACAAACAGCACTGTTGATTTTGTAATAGATAAGAGCGCGTAATAAGCTTCACGAATTTGGAGCGAGGTTATATAATGCCGTGGGGAAAGAGGCAGTGGCAGTGCCAGAGCAGAAGCAGAAAAGTAGGTGTTGCGACCTCCAGTGTTGTGAGCGAGTGGGTTGAATGAATGAGTAGGTGAGTGGGTGGTTGAGTGACATGTCAGTGGATGAGTGAGTGTGTTGTTGTGGCCTGCAACGTGGCGGTTAATAAACGCAGTGTGGATGGGACAGTCTGCTAGACCGAGTCCTCAACATGAGCGGAGGTATCGATGAGAGACGTTTGCGGGACAGTAACCATGGTAGTAGCAACAGAAGAATTATACGGAGGCGACTGCCCGCTGGTAAGCGAGCGAGCGACCGGATTGAATCCTATCAAGTGCAGTGATGTAAGGAACTGGGTTGCTCAACCCATATATGACAATGTCAACTTCATCCAAATATGGGCTTTGTATACGAGTAATCATCGTCCGTAGTTAAATACGACTTTGGCATGAAAAAAAAAAGCTTCTAAGATGCTTCCTTGGGCCAGATGAGTAAAAGAGCCGTTACATGATAGGTCACGTGACATCATTGTGCCATGCAAATTCGTGGTTTTACTGTGGACAAGAATATCATTGTTAATAATAGCATTGAATATCATTGCTGTCAAGAATATAATTGTTCATGATGACGGGAGAAAATCATTGAATATTGTTGAATAATGAATATTGTCAATACACAGTGAAGACTGTCAATACAATCCTGACAATACGCAGTGAATATTGCCACTGAATATTGTCAAAACTATAATTGTCGTCAAGAATATCATTATTGTCAAGAATTTAATTGTTCACGATGACGGGGAGGCAGAGCGTGGAATCGCCATCCCTGCCTCTGGATATTATCGTCGACTTGAGGGGCTTTTTGTTTTTAGTTTCCCCCCCCCCCCCCCCGATGCGTTTTCGGGCTTGCAACCGCGTTCTGATCCGCGCGGCGTTCCGCCGTTTCTCCTCCGCGTTGCCCCGGCAGCTTCTCCGGCTTCGCCGACGCGCGTCGGCGGGGAGGGCTGTGCAGCAGCGGCCTGCGAAAAAACCCGCACGCGGGAATGCCGTTTGCGTGTGCGACGCGTGTCCGTATTTCTTTGTTGCTTCCGTTTTTTTTCAACTCGTTGAAACCAAACCCGTGTGTGTGCCGGCGTGCAGTGGGGCCGATCTGCTGGCGGTGAACGTGGATGGAGACATGCCCTATGATATTTGCGAAGAGCCAGACACCCTGGAACACATTGAAGGTGCCATGGCCGCCAAAGGTAAATATTTGATCTTTGTACGTCGCGTGCGGAAATAAAAAAATGTATATACACGCACACGTCCCGGAGCAGCCACCAACTCCTCGCGCCCGACGCTCAGTCGCTTGAATGCAGCAAAAAGGCAAAGGTGCGGCCCCTGCAATTGCTCGCTCGTGCCACCGCTGGCAGAAATGATCTCTGCTCGAGAGAGCTGTAGAGAAAACACCCTCCAGTCGCGGGAGGGGGTATTTTTGGCCTCCTCTTCTCTTTCACGCTGACCAAACGTCGGGGAAGAGGCGGGAGTCGCCCACACTTTACCCCACCGACGCACGTGACCTGCCCGATCAGCCACCAAACTGCGGTGACCCCCCGTTGCTCCTGCTGTGGGCCGCCGGGCGTGTAGACAGTGGGGATTCAGGAAGCTCGTTGTTTCAAACGGTCCGCTTTTGGAGAGATGGAATCGAACCGGAGACCTGTGGATCGCAACGGTCCAGCGCTACGCCGACTGTGAACGTTGTCGTGGCGGTGGCGTGCGAGCGCGCTTTCGTGAAAATTGAGGCTCGTAAATTACACTTGGTGAACGAGGGTCTCTCAACCAATCGGCGGTGAGAAATGAAAGGGGGGGGAGAGAGAGGCCAGCTGCCCCGCCGGTCGGCCAGCTGCGTTTTGAAAAGGCTTCGACTCCGCATCCTTGGGAGGCGAGAGAGCCGTTGATTGTACCGTTAAAGAACGGCGCTCTCTCTCTCTCGCTCGGAGGCGGTAGGTGGGGGGGGGGATTACCGTTTCATCTCAGCGAGCGAGATGCTCGCCGAGTGAAATACATCTATTGCGCACCGGGCTCTACCGGAGAATCCTTCGGAGCTTTTAAATTAAATAGCCCCGAGGGGCGATGCGCCTGGAGACAGGACGGCGATTGTTGCGGAACACTCGAGGTGGCGCAGCGTTAAATCCCGAAATCCACTCGCACGAACCGCGTCGCTCCGGTCACCGCTGTTTTACGCTCTGTGGTTTTAGTGCCGTTGTAAAACCCCGTGACGGATCGCGGAATCCTGTCCCTGCCGATGGGATGACTCTGTGTATTAACGATTGACCGCCGCTCGACACCGTGAACTCGTAACTCTCTTGCCCCTGTACAACCGAGCCGCTCTGGGTGGCACGAGTAGTCCAGCGCGGCTCACGAGGTGCCAGGTTGGTTTTCCAAAGGCGTTAGGGGGTGGCGGGGGTGGGGGTACTTGTGGTCTCCCGTGAATCTGGAGGGCTCGCGATACGTTATCACGTGTGATGGGTGGGGGGAGGGGCGGGAACCCTGCAGTAAATTTCTTCCGTTTTCCAGCCCCTGATAATAACGTGTGCACGTACTGCCCCGTGAAAATCCACTGCTGGATAAAGGCCGTGTCGGTCTTGGGGCTTGTTTGACTATGCTTCGTCACGCCGATCAGAGCCACGCTGATCAGTCACGCCGGCCAGAGTCACGCCGGTCAGAGCCACAGCAATCAGAGCCACAGCAATCAGAGCCACAGCAATCAGAGCCACAGCAATCAGAGCCACAGCAATCAGAGCCACGCCGATCAGAGTCACACCAGTCAGAGCGGGTTGGCGATTGAGGGGGGCCCATGGCCACTACCCCCGTCTCCCACCATGGCTGGGAATGGAACACAGGTCGCGTCCAGCAGGGTACGAACCACTGCACCACTTCTCGCTTGAGCCTCGTACACAATACACAATATATATATACAAATATAAAAATGCACCAACGGAGGCGGTAAGCCCCCCGCTGATGCGTTTATTTATTCATCAGGCGCATTATTTACTCACTTAATTATTTATGGACGAACCTTTAAAACGCAGACATGCCTTCACGGTTAACTTATTAAATAAACAAACCACGCTGCTGCCGGTGACGGAGGTGACGCTGGCACCCCGTGACGCGGCGTTTGCCGGCTCTGCTCTTCCTGTCCACCTCGGCTCTCTCTTGCCAGACTCGCGCTTTCACTTGGCGCGTCACGTTGGCTGAACTTCTCGGTCTGTTCTGTTCCGTTAACCCGCGGTGTAACGGTCAACACACCGAACTTGCAATACAGAGGTCGCCGGTTCGATTCCATCCTCAGGTGCGGCAGTTGAAACAGTTGTACAAGTTTCTTAATTTTTCTCCCCCACCCCCCATCTGCCGCCTATGTCCACCCAGCAGTGTGTGGGGTCACCACGGGAAGCCGCAGTGGCTAGGAGATGTTAACTACCTCGCCTGGTATACAGGAGGTCGTGGGGTCGATCTCGACCCAGACGCCTGCTGCTGTATATTTGGAGTTTCCATGTCTCTCTCTCATCATCATCACGGTGGCTAGGAGATGTTAACTACCTCGCCTGGTGTACAGGAGGTAGTGGGTTCGATCTCGACCCAGACGCCTGCTGTATATTTGGAGTTTGCATGTCTCTGTCTCTCTCTCCCCGTGGTCGCGTGGAATTGGTCTCCAGGTCTTCCGGGTTTTCCCCTCCACATTTATAATCAACGTGTGTTTAGAGTATTTGGCTGCTATGAATTTCCACACGATGATAAGCCACTTTGTTGAGCTATCATTTGTGGCCAGGCCGCTTCTGAAAAAGAGCCGTATAGCTCAGTGGGCCTTACCTGATAAAATTAAAATAGTTGATAGTTTTTGTAGTTTGTCGATTGGCAGGGCGTGTGTGGTGGAGTAAAGTGTGGGTACTCCCACTTCTTCCAATGTGTCCGGCCGGCCAGCGTGGAAGAGTAGGCCCACGATACCCACTAGAGGGGCTGTCGAGAGCTTCCTCTGCTGGGGGGCACTTCCACCAGCCGTGGCGTGAGCGAGCAGTTGCAGAGGCTGCACCTCTACCTTGAGACGGCATGTGTTGGGGATTGGCTTATCGAGCGTGGGATCGATGCTGTGGTTAATCGAGCGCCACCTACACGACAGTCTGGCCCAGGTGGTTCTGCCGGTGGGAGCAGCTGTCTCACAGCCACGAGGTTGTAAGTTCAAATCCCAGATGGGGTGTTGAATCAGCCGATTGTCGTCATTCCTTTCGGATGGGGGAGGGTTAATAGAAATTAGTTCCAGTTAAGGAAAACGCTACAGCGGTTGTCATTCAGAGAGATTGGCCCCCCACCTTTATCATCATCATCATCATCAGCCATGATCATTTCCGCTGCTGGATGAATGCCTGCCAAAGCCGTGTAACAATCAATTGACAATTCACGTCGCTCGTGCACACGATCGAAATGTAGAATTGCGTAAGGCCAGCTCAGGATCTCCGTGGGTGAGGAGCTTTGCCCAATTCGTTGGCATTTTGGGCACGATTCTCACGTTGGCAAACGTTACCTTTTCATCAAAGTTTGATTAGTGTTGCTAAAATGCGCCAAGAGGGGGGGTATCCATCACTGACAATGCGTTAACTATCACTTGGCCGATGTGTTTGAGACATTCCATCAAGGCTTGAAGCTGGCCCCTTGTGACTTTTGGCACTTTGCTTTTCCTCCACAGAAATGTATTTTTAAACCGTCAATTTTATTCCATTTGTGCTATTGACAACCGTGTCATCAGACAATTTGTGTCCAATTTGAAGGTTGGAACTGTTGCTGAGCAGTGCATTACACGGTGTTCGATCTCAGTCTTCATCACAACTCATTGCATGCAAGTCTATGGGTCTCTATGTAAGTCTATGGGTCTATATATGAGTCTATGGGTCTCTATGTGAGTCTACGGGTCTCTTGTGTGAGTCTATGGGTTTCTGTGTGAGTCTACGGGTCTCTGTGTGAGTCTATGGGTTTCTGTGTGAGTCTACGGGTTTATATATGAGTGTATGGGTCCCTGTGTGAGTCTATGGGTCTCTGTGTGAGTCTACGGGTCTCTGTGTGAGTCTATGGGTTTCTGTGTGAGTCTATGGGTCTCTGTGGGAGTCTACGGGTCTATATATGAGTTTATGGGTCTCTGTGTGAGTCTATGGGTCCCTGTGTGAGTCTACGGGTCTCTGTGTGAGTCTATGGGTCCCTGTGTGAGTAGATGAGTCTATATATGAGTCTATGGCTCTCTGTGTGAGTCTACGGGTCTCTGTGTGAGTCTACGGGTCTCTGCGTGAGTCTATGGCTCTCTGTGTGAGTCTATGGGTCTCTGTGTGAGTCGATGAGTCTATATATGAGTCTATGGCTCTCTGTGTGAGTCTACGGGTCTCTGTGTGAGTCTACGGGTCTCTGTGTGAGTCTATGGCTCTCTGTGTGAGTCTATGGGTCCCTGTGTGAGTCGATGAGTCTATATATGAGTCTATGGCTCTCTGTGTGAGTCTACGGGTCTCTGTGTGAGTCTGTGGGTTTCCGCGTGAGCTGCTGACATTGCTGCGCCTGTCCGTGCCACGCCGCGCGCCGCCAGGCATCACGCAGGAGACCATCGACGACACGCGCTCAGCCGTCGAGAGGCACCTCATGGAGGACGTGCGGAGGGCGATCGCCAACGGCGACAGCCTGGAGCACCGCGACGCGCAGGGCGCCACGCTGGTGAGCGCACCAAGCAGCCCGGCCCACCACACTAACCGCACCATCCCCAAAGCTACTAACCATCCCGGCTTGACCGGGGCAGTCCCTGTGTGTCCCCTCCCTTTCTCTACCCCCCCCCCCCCGTTGAAAATTTGAATGTCGTGCGAAATCTGAATGTGGGTTCTGGTCTCGCGCTTCGCTCGTCATTTTTGGCAGAGGAACCGGGACCACATGCGCAGTGGGCTGGGGTTGGCAGAGGTGCGGGCTGCGTGCAGTGGCTTGGTCACGTCTCTTCGGAGATAAAAACGTTACGAAGGCCGGGCGCGGCGCGCCTACGCCGTCTCAGAGTGTGGTTTTGCTTTTGAACGGAAGGCACGGCAATAACGCGATTCACTCGTGTTCGGATCGGTACGAGGGAGGCAGGCTCGGCAGCTTCGAGGCCAGCGCATCAGAGCTGACACCGCTGAGATGCTGGGCTCAAGGCTGGATTTCAGCCGCCCACCTGCAATTATAAACCGGCTTGCTGCGTTCGCTCTTATTTTTCTTTGTAATGAATGCCGTTCGAGATTAAACCGGACTCTCGAGTGTGGCGAGTTGATGGGTCTCAGGCCATTCACCGATGACTGCAATCAACCAAATCACATTAAAATTGGATTTGCACTCAATTTGGCAAAATTCCACTCAGGAGAATAACTAAATAATAATATTATCTTTCCCTGTCGTGCGACGATTTAATGTAACAACATATATATAGGGAAGTGCTATCCCAGCTATGACGGTAAAGGTGCAGCTCTGCAATTGCTTGTTCACACCACTGCTGGAGGAAAGGGCCACCACTGGAGGATATGTGGCCTACTCGTCAAGGAGCATAAACCATCGCTACGCAAACTCTGGTCATCCTCGCAGCGGTTTTTGGCTGCTCATCAAACATAGACGGTCACCTTATCGCGCGCTTTCGGATGCGCTTCTGCGGCCGTCTGGAATGCTCTTCCTTCCGATATCAAGAAGCCACTGGAGCTACGCACTGTTAAATCATCCAGGTTGAAGACGAATTTCTTTCGAACTGCTATTTGTGTTTAGTTTGTTGCCCTTCCCCCGCAACTCCGAAGAGCACGGTTGGCTTAAGGTATGGTGCGGAAGAAGTTCAGCGCGCGTGACGTACAAGGCGTCTTGAGTGAGGCAACCCTACGCGACCCGCCGATCCGCTGGGTGTCGTCGTTCAAATCCGTGAACGGCGAGAGGCACCATCGGGGCAGGAACAACACCGTGGCGTGACCGTTCACGCCGACGACAAACGTCACGTCCAAGACGATGTGCGTTGCGGCCGTTTCATCGGGACGCGAATCTTGCTCCCCCTGTGACTCGGCGGGGCCCAGTGCGGTTTAACGCATGAGCAAGTTTTAGTTTGTGGGGGATGGGGGTGGATGGGTGGGTGGGTGGTGGACCGCAGTGATTTCATAAACGTGTCCGTTTTCTTACGGAAAAATGAGGTCTTGGGGGGTTTGGATGAGTGTAAGAAAAAAACTGTGAAATTTCACGACATCTGGTAATTATAGATACGTTCTAACGGCAGCAAAGGTCAGTCGGTGAGATGTAGTAGATTGTTAAGCCCAGCCGGTGGAGACGCGTTGGCTTCGCAAGCGTTTGTTTACAGACAAAAAAAAATCTTCATTGTTTACGTAATGGGCTCTGACACAGCATAGGGCCTGTAATATAATTGCGCTGTAATGCGCTTGTGCCTCTGTTTCCCTGGAAACTGCTCTTTAAATCGAATCATCGTCCCCTGCACTCGCGCTCGTTTATCCGTCGAAAAATCAGCGCGGCGCGGCAAAAAGTGTCGATGTCTCTCCTCGGTGAGTGCGCGCCATGCCCCTGTTAACTAGCGGTGCCCCCCATTAACTAGCCCCAGGCCCCCGTTAACTAGCGGTGGCGCACTGCCCGAAAAAGAACTGAGGGTCCTGGCCCATTTGTGCGATGTAAAAGTTTTTTTCCGAGCGTGGCTTGGATAAGGGAGATGCACACTTTGCAGCGATGGGCCAGTGGTATACATTTTACCAATTTTTATTGTACCAGGCAAGGCCCACTTAGCTTATATGTAGCATTTTTTTCAGGAGCAACCTGGCTGTCACAAATGGTAGCACAACGAAGCGGCTTATCACTTATCATCACGTGGAAATTTATAGCAGCAAAATACTCGCTCTTAAGCACACGTTGATTCTAAATTTGGAGCGAATAACTAGAGGACCCGAAGAAAAATCCACACGACAGTAGGGAGAACACGTATACTCCAAATATGCAGCAGGCGTCAGGGTCGGGATCAAACCCACGACCTCCTGCATACCGGGCGAGGTAGTTAACATCTGACCAATGCCAAACACGTGGTTTTAATATTAAATTTAAAAAATACGGCTGGGTGAGGTGTGCGCTTCCCGTAAACCGTGTTTAGATTTAACTCAATTACAAATCACTGGCGCTTTGAGGCCTGGCTTGAAACTCGATGCAGACTTGCGTGAACGTAGTTTATTTTCTTTTCGTAATTTCTTCTCTCCCGCTTTTCCCCATGTTTGTGCTGTCGACGACGTCGCATCACGAGTTGAAAATCGATTCGAGCGTCGCGCAGAGCAGTGCAACCCTCCGTGTTCTGAGGATGGCCCACGGACGTGGGTATTGCAGAGCTAGCTCTGAGACCCACTTCAAACGACCTTTGGTCCACACCGTACATGGCAGCACCCTCTAACCTCCTCTGCGTATGAGAGTAATGCTCCTCGCATATATATATATTTCAATTTCCAAAAGAGCCTACATAAATTAAACACCATGAGTTTAAATTGACACTCAAAAAGTTATCCACCTCACTGATGTCTGCCACTCGTCCACATTTCATTAACATTTTATTTGACCTTGACCCAAGACAAGAGGACCACAATGCAGTTCTTCAGGAACTGTTGATGGTTTATTTTTGCATTATTATAATGATATATTAATAATAGTGCACAAAGCCGAGTGCTTTTTTCACGCGTTTTTTTGCGAACAGTTTCACAGTCAGGAACTCCCTTCCCTCAGCAATCTGTGCTCTCGATGTCCTGCCCCTGGTCAAGTCCAGGCTGAGGACAGCCTCCTTTTGTTCCTTCCGCCGATGACCGACTGCATCTCTCTCTATATATATGTAACATGAATCAGAATCTTTCTTTATCCTGAAGGAATCCGATGAGCCGCAAAGCTCTTTTTCACAGATGTCCAGTGGTAAGCCGGCTATTCCTACGCGGGCGTCTTGGGGGTGCGGTTACGTTTACACGTGATATGAATCTAAAGTGCGTCGTGTTATCGCACTGTAAATGTGGGAAAAAAGATTGAAACGGTTAAGACAAATTGGAAGTTATTAAGTGTCTAAATATGATCGTGTTTCAAGGTAATTGCCCGTAAATGTCATCCACAACTGCAGTTGGAATTCCTCTTCTCCAGTCTCCGCCGTAAAGTGGGTCCGCGCCCTGACACGTATTGTTACAAGCTAATTATTAGGCGTTTAATTAATGATCGAATTAACATCTAGTTCATACGCTCATTGTACAGTATACGTATCGGATCACGCCGTACGAGAATCGCTTGTTCGTCATTTATTTACATTATAAACTACTGTAGATAATTTGTCTGCTATTATTATAATAAATGGCACCTGAGAGGCAGGAAGAGGATGACAGCATGGGTTTGAGAACATAGGCAAGATTTAAAGGGGGCCCTGCCACCAACCCACACGTTGGCACACTCGCCAATCTAAATTATCCACTCGCTTACCCACTCACCCACACGCTCGCTCGCTCGCTCACTCACCGAAAATACATTCTGAGAACGGGGGCTATAGGTAAGGCATTTTTTCGTGATGCCACTTTTGTCAGTGACACGCGACCACAAATAAAAACTCGACACGTTTGTCAATAGCGCTGCCCTAGAAGGAAATGTTTATGTAATAGGGGCAATTGCTTTTAGGCAGTGGCCGTTCGTGTGCTTTAGAGAAGGGGACGTTGCTTGACAAGCAATACCCGTACACAAGTGCAAAATTAACGCCGGCCGGTGGATTGAGTCCAAAAGTAAGGGGTGGCCGCTTCCCACAAAGTCTCGCTCGCCGCTATCGCAGACCCCGGACGTGCAAGCGGCGGCTTTCCGCTCATTGGAGAACGGTCCGCACCATCGGGCGTTTGCCGAATTCACCCGTTCGGTGCCGGAAACGTCTCCTCCAATTACTCTGCTTTTCGCCACATCAGGTCACACTTACCCCCCTCCCGAGCAGTTCAAGATCTCGGGATGAGCGTCAGCTCGCAGTCATTTTTAAGCAAGAGCCGTGCCACCATCGCGGATGCTCGGGTGCCACTTATTTGGCGAGATCCACAAACAGAGAAATATAGCAGTATTTTTTTTGGTTCTTTCGGTAAGGTCACGGAGAAGGGAAATAATGCCTTTCCGACAGACCTGTTCTTCACCTGAGGACGGCTGCTTGCGTTGTGGCTGAAACGTCGTGAGAATTATTTTATTATGTTTTATTTTTATTATTTTATTATTTCCCTTCTACGTGACTTTACCGAAAGAACCAAGAAGATGAATCCCTGCAGTCACAAAAGCTTTAAATCGAAAAGTATTTTTTTTTTAAAGAGCAAGCGGGCTGCCAGCCGGCTTCGCGTCAGCACGTAGCCTGATGTTTCCGCGGACGCTGGTGAGCGTGCCGTCCGTGCCGTGTCTCCGCGTCCTGGGGCACGCCGTCTTAAAAAAGCAACGCCCTCCCCATTGTGCTCATCCATCCGGCCCGCATTCCAAACAACCTGCTCGCTCGCTGGATAGGTGGGTGGGTGGGGGGCCTTACGCAATTGTCACGCCAAATATTTGGCTATTCGACTGTACAACTGGCCCTGAGAGCTTTCTGTGGACGGTGCTCGGCTGAGTTGAATCTAATAAATCTAACCGGCTGAGTTAAATCTAATCAATCTAACCGGCTAGGTTAAATCTAACCGCCTGAGTTAAATATAACCGGC